AGGTGCGAGAGTGACTTAAGGCGACTGTGTCTGTATCACACGCTGGCACTTTGAGATGAATTCCTGAACTTGCCTCTTGGGCTTGCAATTATGGTAACTCTATTCTACTGTGGGGAGTAGGTGCAATTGCCTTCATAAATTTTAATTGATCTGATATCATTGCTTTTGTGTCTTCATACCGGTCTAAGCAGTTTTCGTATTTGGCGTAAGCCGAGGTTTTGAAATTTTTAGGTAGATCTGAATCATCAGTTTCTACTATTGCATCGTATGCAGCTTGGAGGCGTGTCCAAAAATTGTCAATAGATTTATTTTTTATTTCTAGTACCGATTCAGAGTTGTCCTGAATTAGTGAAGATGCAAATCGAGTGCAGTATTTAATCAAGCTGTCACTCTCAGAAATGAATTTAATATAAGAAATGTCCCTCCCCCTTTTTTTGCTTTGTAGCACCTTGCTTAGAGCGTGTAGCTTCAGCAGGTGTACATGGGCTTTTATCGTCATTAATCATTTTCGGAATTCTTAAGAATTCTGCTTTAGATTCTTTTGAGTCAGTGCTCATTCAGAAAATTTTAATTAATGAAAATATATATGTATATTTTATTATAATAGGTATATATGGTACCGAAAACTCTTTTCAACAAATATTGATTTTGCCGAAAAATTGGATAAGTAAAATATACGTGTGACCGAAAGCTCTTTTTAATAAATAAGAGCTGTTATTCCAGTAAAAGAATTTAAAAATGCGTTTATCGCTTTTATTGCTTTCGTTTGTATTCACTTTTTTTTTCGGAAAAATTTTTATTACGTATTTATTCGTATGCCTTTGTTTCAGCGCGCACTGAAACTAGGTCAATATCCTTTGTACATACGTGTGGATTTTATGTGCATATAGTATACGTTAAATAAAATATGTGCAATTATGCTTGTTCTTGTGTGACAAGGAACAAGATAAATGCTAGGAATTCGCCAAATTGGACTTTCAATATACTTATGTATGTATGTACAAAGGTAATTAGCATGTAAAATATTTGCTTTGTTTACCCAAAGTTGTTTTGGTTCACCGCACCGTTTCTGTATATTCTTAATTTGTGTTATAAATAAACGGTAATCTATATAATACGAGTCTATGTATTCGCGGTTGTGTACTGCGTGTCTACTGAAATATGCGCTAAAGCGCTAATGTATATATTATTATGTATTTACACGGATATGTATATATATTATGTAAATGCGTTAAAWTCATCCGCTTTAGGATATGTATATATGTATGTATGTTTGCATTCTCTTTTCTGCTATTTTCTTCTTGCTATTTTTTGCTTACTTTTTTGGAAGCACTTCCTCTCACAGCTAAATAAGCTGAAGAGGTATTGTTCATATGGTTTGCAAGTATCCCTCTCACAGTTAATGAACTGGAGCGGTATTGCCAGAAAGGTTGAAAATAAATTTTTATTGAATTTTTTGTGGATTGTGTATTGTATACACGAAGGTAAGCTTAAAATGCAAGGAATAGTAATTTCTTTAGTTAAATTTATAAAATATATATACATATATATATGCTGTGGATATATATTATTTACCGTATTGTTTTGTATCGATACTTAAATATCCCGCCAATTTAGAAGTTTTACAAACCGTTTTTATTAAACGGGTTTGATTTCTATCGGTTCTATTAAATTGACCGTTTGTGCAACGTTACATACATATACATAATAAATWAAATCAAAAGTGGAATGGATACACTCACTCTGATTTTCCTCAGGGACTTTGGGTTTGGATTTTCGTGAAAAATGGTGTGATTCCTTGTTTGTATGAGTGGGAGTTCCTTCGAACGCCGGCGTTCCGCTTGTTGTGTTGTTTGTTAAGAGTTCGCGCCCGTATTTTACTAAATTACATACTTTATTTTCGCGCCCATATTGTATATGTTAGTTTGCACCCACTTTTGGTTAAGGCTTTATTTGTTAATTTGGAGTTGTTAGTTTTAGTATGTATTCTTATTATTATATTATTTCACTGCACCGCTTTCCGGCTTTTACTTTAAATTTTATTTTTTTAAAAAAAAATTTTTTTTTCTTTCACCCCGTTTTTTGGTTTGTCATATACAAGAATGTATGCATGTGTGCGGATTTCGTGCCACTTCGTTCTTATATATTTTTCTTGGTGTCACTGCACTTTCATATGTAAACCTTTTTTTGTTTTGTTTTTTAACGTTTCACCAATGTGCCGTTCTTTTTGCCTCGAAGGACCATGTATTTTCCAATAACTCACCGGTTTTTGCAGTGCACTGCAAATTTTTTATATTTTCGCACGTACTCACCTTTTCGATCACCACAAGGTTTTGTTTTATAGAACGCGAAAAAAATGGATAAATAATGAGTTTGCTTCAATGTGCATACGCGTGTATAWATGTATATTACGGTTTCGTTTTAGATTTGTGTACAATTTTAAAAATCACTTTATAAAATACTTTAGTACAATTTTAATGTTCACTTTAGAAAAATAATAATAATTAGCGGTTGATAATTCCGACACGGGATGAGAAAAAGCAAAAACTGGAGGAGGGAAAAAAGGCCGTTCAAAAWGCTCGTACAGGTCGCTGTTGAGATCGAAAACGAAGTGAGTTGCTGATCTCCTTGTCATTCCCTTTTTTCCTTTGGTGTGTGGAATCAGCTGGCATGATGTGGTTGGTTGGTGTGTAGTGTGGAATGTGGGTTGTAAGCCCTGATGAATTGTGAAACGAGTATGGTGAAGGTGCGTGTCAGTGTTGTGAAGTTGAATTGATGTGGTGTGATAGTGTGATGTATGTGTGGATGTTCGAGGGAAGATGCTCATTTATACACATGGTAAATCTTTTGAAATAAAGTTTAATTTTAGCTTACCTAGCAAAGCGACGTGCACCTTAGACGATCACGTCATTGAATTTAAAATTTTGTCTCGATTTCGCGACCAACTAAGGTGATAACTACATTTGAGTACTTCACAGCATCGCGTATCGCTTTTTCATCTCTTAAATCACAAAATTGGAACAGCACCGGCCAGGTAAGCAATATTAACGAAGCCATGTTTAGTTATTTCGTACTCTTATTGGAATAAAACCCCAGTCGATCTGTTATTTATCTTTCTTTTCCAAACACTTATCTTCAATTTCCAAACAGTTCTTCCAGATTCAAATAACTAAATAAACCATAGTAAAGGATTGTTCCATGAAATAAACTAAAACAAATTGTCTTGCAAAAACCTGCGTTATGATTATGGCTTCGAATGAGCATATTCTGGACCCCACCATGGCTTGGTTGCTTATTTGTTCATAAAATTTTTCTGTGGTGAACTTACCACAATTAAAAACTGGCATAAATAAAAAACTTAATTTTTCATGTATTTGCTCATATTGTTCTCATCTTTAAAAACATATATTAAAATAAAAATATTTTCTTTTGAAAATATATTACAGTTTTATATATAACCAATATTTTTAGGGACAACTTTTCCATTAATTTTTAGAAAATAACACAATGCAACCATTTTTCGGTTAAAAGTCACCATCTTGGATTCCAATAGAAACTCAACCCCCCACTCCCCTTGACGTTTCTACAGAAGTACCTCTCAGCTGTGGCTTTGTTTAAATAATATCAGCTGATAGTGACTCTACTCCTCCTCTACCGTGATGCCAATCACCGCATACGACGGACGTATCACGTAATTTTCTTTCGTATGTTTGCCGATCCGTGCACGGAGGTACCGATTCGACCCCAGGCTTTTATGTTCTAGTAAAACTAAGAAAATTAAAAAAGTGTAAAATTCCAAAATTTTTTTAAATTGAAAAGAAGTGTTTTTTGACCAAAAAAAATTGTACTTTATATTGCATAAACATATATTCAAACTTAGTTTCTTTTAGTTTAAATAGAAGATAATTTAATGCCAAATATAAAAAACTTTGCCCCAATTCCATACGGCGTTTATTTTTTTTTTCTATTCTACCCGCCAATTAATAAAAATCGTCAAAATGAAAAACCAAGAAATCGCGCGTAAAATTGTTCGCTTTCCTGCCCAAGCACTCATATACATACATATCTGCTAGACGCTCAGTTACTATTTCCCTTCTAGCTTCTTCCCATCTATAACTTTGGGGACATATTCTTAAGATAATTTGTAAAGATATTTAAACAAAAAAAATATTTTTTTTTAAAGCAGGCTCCCCCTTAAAGAAGATTTACAAAACGTAATTTGGCACCCAAATGCGTCTTTATTCATTCGATAAATGTTATCTCTTAAAATCCTCTTTTTAATCGGAACTCATCAAAAACTTTAACAGGATTGCTTCCAAATGTATTCATTTAAGTGCGAAAAGACGAAAATCCAAAAAGATTCCGTGAAACCAAAGAAAATCAGAATTTGTTTGCAATTCTGATAGCTAAGCAATTTTTTCTCGGATTCGACAACACCCCTGTACATCTTCCAAATAAGTAAACCGTCCGAGGGTATTCTGTACGGAAGGTTCGGAAATATGGCGTGTGGGGTGGGTAACTCAGACCGGCCTAAAACAATAACATGGTATTTTAATCCAGAAACAATGGATAGCTACGGGACGGAAACGAATTAGCTATGTTGTCTTCGACGTCGGGTATACTGGACCATAATATTGAAGTCAATGGCGTCAAGATTTCGACTGTCAATAATCTTAAAATTTTAGGTGAGACTTTTGACAGTCTGTGCTCCTTCATTCCTCATACGATCGCGATTATCGCCAAAGAAACATTGTTGGCAACTTACAAGGCAATTAACCATGGATGTATAAAAGCCAAACATATGTTCCTAAAAAAAGTATAGTATTACAATTCACTTTTTACAAATTTTTACTGAAATCACAATTATAAATATTTCGAAAAAAGTTGTTAATTTATTTCCCAAGAATTCTTGTATATATGTTTATATTATGTATAATACAATACTGCATCATAGTGGCAAATTATAAATATGTACGCCCAATAGTAAAAAAAGAAATAAATATAAAACAGTGACACTGATTCTTAACTTTATTAAACTTACTTCTAAATAAGTATGTAGTTGATTCCGATATGAAAGAAAATGTACTGCAGATCTATCGAACATCTTTTACAAACCCGTTTTATAAAATGTAGATATTAGAAATGCACAGCAATACAATTGCAAAAAATTTAATGATATTATGTTTTACGAATATACAGATAACGTTAGTGGCCGGGAACTTAGTAAATCTACTTACATGTAAATATATCTACTTTATTAATAATTATTTGTATTGAATTACTTCTTTAAACTCTCAAGGCGCGATGTAAAATTATCACGGAGCTAATATTTCTATCATAAATGCATGAGGGGTAGTACGAAAGTCAACAACTACAATTAAATTTACTCTGTTCAATTATCGATGGTATATTCTGGCAGTTTTTCATACTTGAGTTTTGTCGGCTCGTGATCAGTATCAACAAGTAAAACTGTATGAGAATAACCAACAGCAACCTGAGGTATTTTTATATTATCCATTTTGGGCACTTCCTTAGGGATAGTCGAAGACTTTTGGAATTCACCAAGGCCTAATTCACCATAAGTTGGAGAAGCACCCCATGCTATTAAGGTATCGTCAGCAGAAATAATAATAGAAGTGTTTCCACAACCAATATCGGTGATGTTCCAACCTTTAAATATAATGCTGTCAATAAATTTTCTCAATAACACATTATAATGTAAACACTACCCGATAAATCCTGGACAGGTTTTGGGTACATGTTTGCTTCTCCAGTCTTTTTGTTTTGTCCAAATAAGAAAAGTACACCTAGTTCATTGACAATGAGACTAAAAGTTGCACCACAGTATACATTACGAGCACCACGGCCTTGAGTGTCAAAATATTTAATTAAACGAGGTACCATTTCATCTTTTGGCTCAGCATGGCCCAAACGACCAAAGCCACCGAATCCCCAACTATACACGCGCTTCTTCGAGTCAATTGCCACCTGAAAAAATATACGAGTATATATACAAACTTCAAACTTTTTACTTACTAAAATTGCTTGTTAAAGGGCTGTAAGCATAATTTAAAATAAATGAACGAAATAAAAAGCCCTTGTTTAGTCTTTGACTAAAACTAAAGTTCAGGTCGATCGCAGAATCTTATCAGATATAGAGCATAAACATTATACAGAAATTTAAAATTCGAAAAAAAATAAGAAAAAACGTTAACTTCGGTTCAACTAATATCCTTCACAAATACAAAAGTTTCCATACTTTGACCGTTCTCGCCACAGTCGGGTATACATAACAGTAACGGACACGGATTTTTATCCGATCAAGGGCTGTCAAACCAGCAGCATTTCTCCATATTGCTTCAGGAATGTTTTCTGCCGCTACAACAATAATAATCCATATTAAATTCGTGAAGGATTTTGATCAATCAGTCTGAATGGCAGCTATATGCCTTAGTGATCCGATCTGAACAATTTCTTTGGAAGTTCGATTCTGCCGTTGTCTTTGCAATGCGAAATCGTGAAGATATTCTGTAGTAAAGTCAGGAACTATACAGACTGACAAACGGACACGGAAAATCGCTCATCGTGCTGGTCATTTTCATATAGTAGGGTGCTAAAAAAAATTTTTTGAATTTATTTTAACTCTTTGTTTGTCAATCACTAACATTTAGAGGGTAAGAGTTCAAAAAAAAAATTCAAACGATTTTTTTAAAGCAAACTAATATACAGTGGCTTACAAAAGTATTCAGAAAATTAATTTCAGGAATAGATATTTTAATTAATGTAATGTAGTTTTAACTGTTATTTAAATTCAAAGATTAAGTTCTATTTTAATAGAACATGGGTAAAAACATTTGAACTGAAAAATTCAGTGAATTAATATCACAAAAGTATTCGTAAAAAACGTTTTATATAAACTAAAATTGATTTTGCTTTTAGTCCATATTTTAGAGTACCTATGGAAAATACTAATTTTTTGTCCATATATTTCACCCCATTGTTGTTGTTGTTTGTTATTTTAACGATTATCTAATCCCCGTTTGGGCGGTAAGGGTCATTTGCGTTGCGTCGAGATCATCTAAGGGGAGTATGATTTGTAGGGCATGCAAAGAAAATAAAAAGGCCAGTATCATGCGAGGACTCGTTGCATGCAGGACATACATTGGATATGTCTGGGTCGATTCTGGATAAGGAGTTTAACCTGCTACAATATTCAGAACGAAGCTAGTTGCGGAGTGCAGTATTCTGGCACGTCTGAAGTTTCCTCATCTGCGTTCCACTGCATCTTTGAAACCGATCAAAAAAAAGCAGGTGTCATGAATTCAGATATTATTGGTTTGATATTCGAAACAGAATTTGTATCGGTTTTTGGGTGTCACGGAAACCAATTTTATCGGTTTTGCTGTCAGAAACAAATCAAGAATATAGTCGCACACAGATTTGAAATGTAAGTTAAGAAATGAAGTTATTTTATTGTTACGAATTAGTTTACCTTTATTTCTATAGGAGAATACATAAGAATAAAACAAGAAATGTCTCAATTATTGAGTTTTGGAAAAAATGCGGATATTTAAGGGGGAGAGCCTGCTTTAGAGGCTTAAACAATCAATTTTTTGAAGTTTTTTTGGGAAATTCTTTCTTTAATTCGGAACTCATTAAAAAATTTAATAGGATTGTTTCCAAATGTATTAATTTGCAAGTTTTGTCACATTAGTGAACAGCTGATTCGAATATTCGTATTGCATATGTTCGAAAAGACAAAAATCCGATCAGATTCTGTGACACCATTGAAAGTCAGAATTGCAATTCTGACAGCTAAGCAATTCTGTCTTGGATTCCAAAACACCTCTGATTATATTGTTTCCGAATAGCACACTCCAAATTTGCCCACAAGTGCTCAATCGGATTAAGATCCGGGTACTGAGTGGGCGTACCTAAAACTTTTGTATAATATACAAAACTTTGTAATGTGAGTTGTATGTTTCAGGCCGTTGTCAAGATGAGTTCGGAAAGTCCGAATTTATCCGCGCAAAGACATAAATTACTTTTTACTTCTTTGGTTTTTCTTTCCATGCCGCATTGTACAAAATTTTTATTCAGACTGAAGACAAATTGCTAAAGCTGTCAGTAGCTTAGAACGCCAGAAGTAGCAACGGGACTTTTGCAAGGCTGGCAAGAAACTTAATTTGCGAATAACTTTGTGATGTTAGTTTAGTCGAGTTTATACATAAAGTAGTTTAAATTAATATTTTTATCCAAAAAAAAAAATTTTATATGCCCAGTTATGAGTTAAAACCATATTTGAAGTAATAATAAAGTTTCCAAACAAATGTCTGCAAAACAAAAATCTATGGGTTCATTTCACTATAAAAATTTAATTTTCGAATATTTTTGTCTCCGACGTTCTCTTCTAGATATTACAAACTTCGTGGTAAACTAAATAGACCTGGTTGAAGGTATAACAAAAAATATAAAGGCGTATACAAATCACAATATGAACTTTATACTTTACGCAAGGTAACAATTCAACCAACCACTAACTTCTATTTTAATAATTACTTTTAATACCGAAGTTTTATAATTTCTACATTTCATTACTTAAAGATATTTTTCAACTCACCGTATGATTATTGCCGCAAGCAAAATCCACAACTTGAACATTGTCCACGGGTGTAACGTGTCCTTCCTTATTCTTTTCAATATATAATACAACCTTTTTAGGCGATGTTTCAAAGTGGAATGACAATTTGTTGGCATTAACAAAGTATTTTGCGTCTGTGTTATGCCCCAGCTGGCCATATTCAGGTAAACCAAATGTAAACAAATTTCCTTTAATATCGAGGATCACGGAAAATTCAGCCCCACAACCAATGCGAATAATTGGAGATCCTACATAATTTATCGGAGTTGGCTTATTTACTACTGGAAGTGTGTTTCCAATACCACATTGGCCAGACTTATTTTCACCACAGGCGTAAACTCTACCTGTGTCAGTCAAAAAGAGGGAATGATGTCGACCACATGCTGCTTGAACAATATTAAATTTCTCTAATCCTGGAACCAGCGTAGGAGTTTCACATATTTTTACATCGGATAAACCTAACTGTCCTGAAGGATTACGACCAAAGGCTAGAGCTTTGCGATCCATATTAATAAGTAGTGTATGAGCAGAGCTTGAACCAGTAGCACAGTAGCGGTACTAAAATATTGAAAAAGATTTTAAAAAATAGTAAGATTCTTTATGTTACTTTCACCAACCATTTCATCAGAAAAACGATGAAAATTATAAAGATTAGGGCGCACTTTAACTACATTTTTCCGATCCCGTTTTCCTGTTAAGTCCCATGTTACCATTCCAGCAATCAACAATTTGCCCGGAGTCTTATCTAGAGATAACAGAAGATCTTCAGGTAACTTGGTAGGTGGTTCCAAATCGTCATTAGGAATTAAAACTTCCACTTGGTTTGAGGTAGATTGGGCTTCATCACTAGAAGCATCACTAAAGTCCTCTTCAATCTCCTGTTTCTTAGGGCGGCGCTTGTTAGGTCCATTACCACTTCCACCAACTTTACGTTTCGAAGACATAATTGAATATATCGTTATTTTTTCAGAGGACTAGATTCCAAACTTGCGAAAACAAGAGAACAATAATAACTGGTATAACGAATCACTTTGTTAATCTATTGTCCTAAAAATATACATAGACTTATATTATAAATACTGAAAACTTAAATACAAAGAATAGATATTGTTTTCTTTAATCATTTTCAAAAAATAAAAATAATAACTTCGTTTCAGGTACTTAAAATGGTCGATACGTCAATAACGCAAAAACTATCTCAAATATTTAGAAGATAGGCAAAACTAATATATTTTATTTTTAATATTTTTATTTATATATTTAAATACGTTTATAACTTTGCACATGCTAAACAACAATATATAACCATAACTTACATTTAACTTATTACTTCTTTCAAAGTTTAGTCCAACTTTTGCTAAACTTTACTGAACAAAGTAACGCTACAACGAAAATCAAGCGTCAACCTCCCAAACCTCGCTAATAATTGAATGTTAACAACGCCATTATGTTTATCCCTACTTCAAATACACGGTCGCCTAGACACGATTGGAAATTTTCTTACATAGAGTTTAGGCTATCATAGTCAAAAATTTTTAATTTTAAGTTCTCGAATAATTATAATTTTGCACATGCTAAACAACAATATATAACCATAAAGTACATTTAACTTATTACTTCTTCCAAAGATTAAGCCCACCTTTTGCTAAACTTTACTGAACAAAGTGACGCTACAACGTAAATTAATCATCATCCCAAACTACGCTAATAATTGAATGTTAACAACACCATTATGTTTATCCCTACTTATAGCGGGATTCTGTAAGCAGTCTCTAATCTCTATTTGAGACATTTTGTAGTAAAATCTCTATTTGTGACTAGTTACTATTCACTAAATAGTCTCTAGCTTTAGTCTCAAAATATTGCCACAAATTTGAGACCTGGTAGTTAGCAACTCACAAAACCAAAAAGAACTCGTGTCTGCCAGTTTGAATATACTGAATAAAGATCATCATAGATATTAATCGATTGCATATTTTGTAATCAACTCAAACACGAAAAGGTTAAAAATAAATAAATTTTACATAAATTTCGTTAATATTATGAAACAAAGTGAACATATATTTATGTTTTTACTGATAACTATGTTTTTTGACTATGTTATAGAAAATTTAATATTTGGTATCTACATATTTATTTCCATTCAATTATAAAAAGATCTCTGAATAATGAAATGTAATAGAGTTTGTGACTATCACTTACAGAATAGCAAAATCGTCTCAAGTCTCAAAAATTCTCTGTCAAATTTAGAGACTTGATACTATATCACAGTACAGAATCGCACAGTTAGCCTCAAAATATTGCCTCAAATTTGAGACCTGGTAGTTAGCAAGTCACAAAACCAAAAAGAACTCTTGTCTGCCATTTTGAATATACTGAGCAGAGATCATCATTAATATTAATAGATTGTCATTTTTTTATATTTTGTAAGCAACTCAAACACAAAAAGCTTAAAAATAAATCAATTTTACAAAAATTTCGAAAACATTATGAAACAAAATCAACATATAATTTTATTTAGATTGATAATTATCTCTTTTGACTATGTTATAGAAAATTTAATTTTTGTTATCGACATATTTATTTTCATCCAAGTTTAAAAGCATCTCTGAATTATTAAATGTAATAGATTTTGTGACTGTCACTTACAGAATAGCAAAATCGTCTCAAGTCTCAAAAAGTGCCTCTATCAAATTTAGAGACTTGATACTGTATCACCAATGGTTAATGTGTTGAATACAATGCCAAGCAACAGACTGCAAACGACTTCTGTCAAATATTAAAATACACTCGTTCTTATGGACGGACCTATTTTGACAACTGCACGACTACACGACCATTGTATAAACTTACAAGTAACCAATCCTTCATTTTTCATTAACACATACGCAAAAATCTACTACAAATTAGGCACCTGGTACGGGTTGCCCCTAAATATTCTACTACAAATTAGGAACTTGGTACGGGTTGCCCCCACATATTCTACTACTAAAACGTTCAAATGCCTCAAATCTGCTATAGTGTGTTGTCCTGTTAGGTTTTAAAATTTATAACCTTAACAATATTTTTTATAAAATATTCAAATATTTTTCGATTATTTCAATTCCTAAATACTAAATTTAATCAGTTTTGTCCAAAATATTAATTATTGTATCAATATATTATTAAATGATTCCAATTTTATAAAAAAAAATATTTATTTCCATAGTTACCTTGATCTGTGATTTTGAAATGAGAATTTTAGGGATTAGGTTTGTACGCTTATAATCAATGTTTTTTAAGTATTTTCGTGTACCAGGTATAGGACCCTTCTTTCCACCACAATTCCTTTGATTTGGGTTTGATTTTGGGTTTTTAATAAGTATTTCGCTGTAGGTTATTTAGAATATTTTGTAAGTATTATTTATTACTTAGTAGATTGTTTTGAATAKTATTGTTGTTGTTCCTGAATTGTACCTGATTTTTTATATTAATTTTTGTTTTTGCTAAAATTAACACAAGCCGATTGTTATTACTTGTATTGTTAATGTTTAGAATGGAATTGTACCCGATTTGTTTATATTTATTTTGGTTTTTGTTTAAATAGTTTCCAGTTATATTTTTAATGTAATTAATATTCATGAATTSTACCTGACTTGATATATTTATTTTTGTCTAGTCATATTTTTTATAATAAGTACAATAGATTGATTTAAAACTGTATATATAAAAGCGGGTGAAAATAGGCCTCCTGGTGAACCAAACACCCAAAAAAGATCGGTAGCGCGCCTACATTGCAACCTCAGAGGTGGTGAGGAAGAGCAATAAATATCCAACAAAAATGTTTCAAAAATATTCTTGAAAGTTTTCATTAATGTTTTCCGTTACAAATACTTTTTCACAAAAAAGTTGATCTACTACATTTATTTTAATTACATCTCTGTGCCTAAAAAAGGCAGATTTCGAACAGGTGATCTCAGCTGTGAAAAATTCTTGGAAAACAGGTGATTCTTTTGTTACTTGTTGGGTTATGCAATGTACACGACCGCAGGCCGACAGTTGCCGTTCTCGCTAACTTCAATTTAATCCTATATTTGCCAACGACAGTAGAGTTGACAGTAGAATGGAAGATAGAGAGATGAGGTAGAGTGGTGATGCCACTAATATGTAAAATGTAAATGTAAATGTATTACTCAAAGCTCTAACAAACCTGATGTTATTTGACAAATAAAAGCATAAAATAGCTCTGTTACATCATTTGTAATAACAATTGATAATTTAAAACAAATAAATTTACATATTTACTTATTTTTTGCATAAAAAAATTCACTTTGAACAAAATGTTAAAATTTCATTGAAGTGCAAGGTACTAATATGGCCACAACGAAATTGTGTACATGCAAAATGGACAACTGCGTTGTTTTGTGTACATGCCGGCCATTGTTATGTTGCTGCCCTCCTTCAAATGTTCATGTAGTAGGATTCACAACGCCAGTTTCAGTTCACCGTCGTGCTGCTGCAGTCTGTCGCGAACATTGTGTTCCGCACATCAAATACACGTTCGCCTAAACACGATTGACAATTTTCTTACATAGAGTTCAGGCCATCATAGTCCAAAATATTTTATTTCCAGTATTTTAATTTCTGTACTGTGATACAGTATCAAGTCTCTAAATTTGACAGAGACAATTTTTGAGACTTGAGATGATTTTGCTATTCTGTAAGKGATAGTCACAAACTCTATTACATTTCATTATTCAGAGATATTTATATACTTGAATGAAAGTAAATATGTCTATTCAGTATATTCAAAATGGCAGACAAGAGTTCTTTTTGATTTGTGACTTGCTGACTACCAGATCTCAAATTTGAGGCAATATTTTGAGACTAAAGCTAGAGACTGTTTAGTGAATAGTAACTAGTCACAAATTGAGATTTTACCACAAAATGTCTCAAATAGAGACTAGAGACTGGTTACAAAATACCGCTATAAGTTAGAGACAATTTTTGAGACTTGAAACGATTTTGGTATACTGTAAGTGACAGTCTTAAAATCTATTACATTTCATTATTCAGAGATGTTTTTATACTTGAATGAAAATATATATGTCGATAACAAATATTAATATCGGGATTATGTAGCCAGTCCCTGGCCTTTATTTGAGACATTTTGGGGTAAAATCTCAATTTGTCACTAGTTACTATTCGCTAAACAGGCTCTAGCTTTACCGTGCGATTCTGTACTGTGATACAGTATCWAGTCTCTAAATTTGACAGAGACAATTTTTGAGACTTGAGACGATTTTGCTATTCTGTAAGTGATAGTCACAAACTCTATTACATTTCATTATTCAGAGATGTTTTTATACTTGATTGAAAATAAATATGTCGATAACAAATATTAAATTTTCTATAACATAGTCAAAAAACATAATTATCAATAAAAATAAAAATATATATATATATATGTTCACTTTGTTTCATAATATTAACGACATTTATGTAAAATTTATTTATTTTTAACCTTTTCGTGTTTGAGGTGATTACAAAATATGCAATCGATTAATATCTATGATGATCTCTATTCAGTATATTCAAACTGGCAGACACGAGTTCTTTTTGGTTTTGTGAGTTGCTAACTACCAGGTCTCAAATTTGAAGCAATATTTTGAGAAAACAACAGCGCCCAAGTCCTTTCTTACTTTCGCTACGTGGCGCCAGTTAGATATTCCAAGTGAAGCCAGGCCCTTCTCCACTTGGTCCTTCCAACGGAGTGAAGGTCTTCCTCTTCCTCTGCTTCCCCCGGCGGGTACCGCGTCGAATACTTTCAGAGCTGGAGTGTTTTCGTCCATCCCGACAACATGACCTAACCAGCGTAGCCGCTGTCTTTTAATTCGCTGAACTATGTCAATGTCGTCGTATATCTCGTACAGCTCATCGTTCCATCGAATGCGATGTTCGCCGTGGTCAACGCGCAAAGGACTATAACTCTTTCGCAGAACTTTTCTCTCGAAAACTCGCAAGGTCGACTCAGCTGTTGTTGACATCGTCCAAACCTCTGCACCATATAGCAGGACGGGAATTATGAGTGACTTATAGAGTTTGGTTTTTGTTCGTCAAGAGAGGACTTTATGTCTCAATTGCCTACTCAGTCCGAAGAAGCACCTGTTGATAAGAGTTATTCTGAGTTGGATTTCAAGGCTGCTATTAATATTGGTTCCAAGAGAGACGAAATTATCTACGACTTCGAAGTTATTACTGTCAACAGTGACGTGGGGCCTATTTAGTCTTGCCCCGTTCACTACCACACACATTTGCTTTGCTTCCCTATTCATTCTGGAGAAAGCAGAATAACGGTGTGGTTGTTGAGGCCAATGATATCAATATCATCGGCATACGCCAGCAGCTGCACATTCTTATAGAAGATGGTACCTTCTCTGTTTACTTCTGCAGCTCAAATTATTTTCTCCAGAAGTAGATTGAAAAGTCACACGATAGGACGTCGCCTTCTCTGAAACCTTGTTTGTCGCAGCTTTTGGTGTTGCTAA